CGATTTTCTGGTGCCTTTCGCAAAATATTAATCATGCAACAATTATTACAGATTCGAGATCAGTCTTAGAAGCAATTAAACAAAATCCTGTTAGATCATATGATATTTTTTTATTATGCAAAATCAGAAACTTACTCGTCGCTTATCAAGCCAAGGCAGCAAAGATAAATTTTGCTTGGGTAAAAGGGCATGCTGGCATCAGAGGCAATGAGATGGTTGATAAAGCTGCAAAAAATGCAATTCACTCTAGTACGATTACCCATGTGCTACTTTTTTCTGATTTATTCATAGAGATCAGAGGTAACATCAAGAAAAGATGGGATTTGATCTGGTCCAACTTTGTAGTAAACTCTCGAAATCATTATGCTCTTATTCACCCGACCCTTCCCAATATAATTCCCCACATAGATCTCTTCTATATGAATAGAAGATTCTCCACAATTATAACGAGATTGCGATTGGGTCATGGTTGCTTTCCTGCTCATCTTCATCGAATAGGTGTAATAGAGTCCCCAAATTGTGCTTGTGATGAATCTTCTATAGCCGATCTAAATCACATATTTTTTGCTTGTAATCTTTACACCAATATCTACAACCAATTAATCGCTCAGATGATTAAACTTGGCTTCCAACTACCTTTAAGTCTAATTCAATTCCTTAAAAAGGTAAATATTACTATATAAATTAAACCTTGCCTGGAATTCGTAACTATTCAGTTATATTCACCCCTTTTTTTTCTTTCTTACCGTCTCTCACAATGATCAGATAATATAAATCCATTGACAACATTTTGTGGCAAATGGACTCCAGTTTCCAATGCCAATATTTTGACACACACACACACACACAACGTGTCTTTTCGATTTTTTTCGAAAAAATTTGATGCCCATGATAATGGCTTATCCGTCAGCTCAATGTCAACATGATTATTTACCGTTTTGTGCCCCTATTCTTGAGTTCAATAGAAAATCACTCTTTTTCTACTCCCCCGGTTTTCTATCGATTTGAAAATACTGTATTCTTGAAAAGACTCGATAGAAAGGAGAAAGTAAATCAAGACACAGGGTTGCCAGGTTTGGGTAAACGTGTTAAACCAATCAAAATGGAGATAATTTTGACAGTCAAAAACAAGATTTCCTCCTCATAATCTTATCTATCGAGCCGAAAACTTAAAAAACACATTACAAATGAACAAAAGGGCAAGATGATTGAACTTCTCCGAGAACACCCTCAAATGCACCAGGGAAAATTCAATCATAGATATCTACTCTTGCCTTTGTTGTGATCGAAAGTGCAGAAGCTCGTGGGGGAGGTTATATGAATGGAGTCAATATCTCGAGCAATCATATACCAAATCTTTGGTCAACCTAAACATCTGTACAAATTTGCGATCCGAAATTATGAACGGATCTCAGTGCCCAATCTCCCATTCCTCAACTGCCTCCTCTACATGCTCGGTAATAATATCGTTCCAATATATCAAATGATTGAAATTATCTTATCCATTTTTCGCAATATGTTTAGCAGAGACGACAATAACAATACCAAAAACGTCAATTTTTAGGTTATATGGCGCTATTTTCTACTAACTTTTCCGGTTTCTCCTGGTCGGTACCAATAGAAATCCCGACTCCCTAAAGTGAATTCATTTCTATCACTTATCGGTAGAATTGATTTCAAGAATACTACATTTCTTGGCCATACCCAGTTTTTGCCATGTTCTCTCACAATTTCTACTCCCTCGAACTCAAGAATAGAGGTCCAGGACGGGGCGGCCCATAGCACTTTATTAACAATTAAATAACAATGTTTTAAGGGGGGGGGTAAGGTTAATTCCGTGAAGATAGTCGTATTTGAAGGTTTTTTCTTCGATACAAGTAAGGATGGTTTATTCAACTTAGTACCACACAATAATATGAAATTTGAACTATAATTCGTCAAGTCGTCAAAGTAGAATCTGGATAAATAAGCCATTGGCAGCAAATCTCCGAAGGCATAGCGTAAAAAAAGCAGTCTTGCAGTGTATATTGTCACCCGTCACCCTTGGACTCAAATAAATCGAAATGGGAGTTTTGTTTTGACTGTTGCTATTTTTTGTTGCTCCCGAAAGTCAAAGATACGATTTTCTGTAAGCAAATCGACAATTTTTTTTATTGTAATATCAATAATTAATGAAAAAAAACAAAAAAAAAACTCGACACGTGGTTACCTGGTGATTCACGTTATGAATCAGCACAAACAATTTCAAAAGAATCGGTGCATTAGATTTTGATTTACAAGTTCCAAATATAGTGTTCATATAAAATAACACTGATGGAAGTCGAAAGAGGATATCTCGAATTGAATATTTGACACGCCACCTTGTAGAGGAGAAAAAATGGCAATAAAGACATACATTTTATTTTGAATTAACTTAGGAGAAAATAAAAATGGTTAATTAAACTCTGTGCAAAAATCCAATATGGTGTCCTTAAGAAAGAATAAAGTTGATATGGAGGACAAAAGACGAAACGTCATATTGAAATTCTAATAACGCAACCCTGTAGAGAAGAAAAGGGGCAATTTATCTTGAAATCAAATAAAGTCAGAAAGAAATTTAAACCATTTCAGTTTTTTCCCGTCTCGCTTCTGGAAGTAGTAGTAGAAACTTTCGAAAATTCTTAAGATGATATATTACGTTTTTTGGATGTTATATGACATGTACATCACAAAAAACCATGTCACTAATTTTCGTCGGTCTGTCTGTATTTCTCTAATTCTTACACAAAGGTACTACTATGCCAAGGACGCAAAAGCTTTGTAGTTCATAAAAATCAATTCAGTGACGGCGATCTTCGTTTTTTGACGTTTCGACGATCCCGATCATTTTTGAACAAATTTGTATGGTTTAAGAATTGGAGGTTAGGGATAACATGGGTTGAGGGAGGTTGTATCTCAAATTTTTGATGTTGGTATATTTATAAGCCTCCAACTAAAGTAATTCTACACACATATTAGGCATATTTCATGTCCACATACATTTACCCTTAACCCTGTCGATATGTGCGACGTTGTCCCTTGATGGACAAGAGTAGTCGTCGGTGGTCGTACGTCACAGTCGGAAATCGTGGGCCGCCTAAACTGCGCATGGCACAGGCCAATATCGTCATTCACGTGGGATTGGTCATTGCAAGGATCATGTGCATGGTCATTTAATTTTTTGTTATACATGTTCGTGGCTAACTTTTTTCTCAGAAGGGCTAACTTGTGCCAAACATGATCCTTTATGATCGAAGCGAAAAAAATATCATTTTTTAAATTCTCCATAATAAGTTATTTAACCCTTTCGAGCCTCTCGGGACATATATGTCCCAGCATCGTTATCCGAAAGCCTGTTGGTTTCAATGCGTCCCATTTAACGTTTAATATGGATATTTCAGTCCTAGTAGGTCTCCCCTAGACATTGCGTATCAGTTTTCGTTTTGCAACATCGCGTATGGATCATATTGTTTGTGTTTTCGAGCGGTTAACAGGTGTGTTCAAGTTTTACGGTTGAATTTCAATGGTTTTTGGAAGGAACTTTGTGTGACTTATGTGAATAAAGGTAAGATTGTAACAATAGTTTTGTCTAAGAAATATTTGTTTTTGAATTCAGTCGAAGATAACTTGTCAGAAGATGAATGAATAATTGCGGGACTTATTTGTCTCAGCGGACTTTTTTATTGGGATCAATGTGTCCCAGCAGACTTTCTTATTAGCTTTAATGTGTCCCATCAGGCATTTTATTTGCAGATGAGTCACAAGCTAGAAGCTGAAGTAGCCGGTTTTTTCGAAGAGGAACGTGACGAAGAAGATCCATTCCATGACAGCGAAAGTTCAGATGAAAACTATGAAACCTCGGAATACGATTCTGAAGATAGCTTGTTCGAAGCCAATGTCGAAGATAGCTTGTCAGAAGATGAATCGAGCTGTGAAAATGTATTTTCGTCAGATGGAGAGTCCTCAGATGCTTCTGGAGTGGGGTCTAAGGAAAATAATAAAAGAAAAAATACGAAAATCATTGATAAGAAGAAAGGAAACAAAACCAACGCGAAAACAAATGAAAACATATATATGGTTCAATAACGATGGATCTTTTACTCCTCGATGCTCAGTTTTTCCTGAGAAAAACGTGATTGTCGCGGGATCATAGTGAGGTTGAAATTTTCTTGAAATTATTTCCAAAGAGCCTTTTCAAGTATATAACTCAATGTACAAATGAACGACTGGCAATATTTAAGAAATCGTCGAAGAAAAGAAGAGCACGCTGCGACAGCTATGAAATAATGGTTACTCTTGGAGTTTCCCTCATAATATCTTATAATCGTGTACCTGCATTCAATCACTATTGGTCAAAATCGAGTCTCTCGGAAATATAACAATAAAAAAGGCCATATCCCGAGATCATTGCAAACTCCTTTTAGCTAAGATGTATTTCATTACGCCGGAAAAACCGAAAGGCGCTCACAAACTCTACTACATAGAAGAAGTAGTGAATTGCTTGAAGGTCACATTTCAAAAATATCGTTCCGACTCTACCTTTCAAAGCATTGACGAATCGATGGCAAAGTACAAAGGACGTTCGTCAATGAAACAATATTTACCGATGAAACCTATAAAAAGAGGGATCAAACTATGAGTACGAAGCGACTCCTCCACGGGATACGTTTACGATTTGAACGTATATGCTGGCAAGGATACAGAACAGGTCGATGGTACTCTGGGAGAGAGAGTTGTCAAGTAGTTGTGTGAGTTGATTCAAGATAAAAAAGTTGTTCTTTGCTTCGATAGATTTTTTTCTTCTGTCTTGTCTCTTCCCTTTGCAGCTGTAGGAACACTGATGAGCAACAGAAAACAAAGTTTTCTAATAAACTAAACCGAGGTGAATCCGAATTCCGTGTGAATAACAATGGTATCATAGTGTGTCGATGGCAAGATACGAAGCAACTGCTTCGAAGACTGTGATTCAAGTTGAACGTAAAATGAAAGATGGTACAAGAAGTGAAATTTCATGCCCTGAGATGCTCCAATTCTATAATGCACATATGGGAGGTGTTGATCTCACAGATCAAATTGTGAGCTTGTATGACTTCGAGCGGAAGTCTGGAAAATGGTGGAAGAAGGTCTTTTACAAAGTTCTGATGATGGCTGTAGTGAATGCCCACGTTATTTATTCTGACTTACACCGACATAAATCCACATTTTTGTCCTTCCTGCTTGCAGTAGCTGAGGGTTTGATTGCACAAGGCAGGAAACACGCTGCTGTGAAACGAAAATCTGCCTCGTCCTTGGGACGTCCTCTAACTAAGAGAATTAAATTATTCACCGTCGGAGATCATTTACCCATAAAGGGCAAAACGCAAAGAAGATGATACAGATGCTCTTCAACATACAAAAAGGAGAAACGCACAACTACGATGTGTCAAGTGTGTAACATTGCTTTATGTAAAAATTGTTTTACAGCGTATCATCTGAAGTAAGACACTGTTCTGTTATAAACTTCCTTACTCTTAGATTATTGTGTTGTTTTTTTATGTATTTTGTTTATATTGGTTTCTTGATATGGCCATGAACTAGAATGGCTAAAACTATGTTTTGTTTCTTGGATTTTTTATTCTGTTATTCAGTCTTGTAAAAAATGTAAAAAACATATGAATAAACGAATCATATTTGGACTGTTGGGTCAATTATGTCCCTTCAAAAAAGACTGACTGGGACAAATATATCCCAGAAAAAATGGCGTCCGATACTGAAAAATAAGTTGTCCGTTTTTCTTTTGTAGATCAATATAGTCTACAAAAAATATACAGATAATGTGCGATCAATTCTGAGTAAAAAAATCCGGCTCGATTGGGTACCGACTTTTCGTCTTAATTGCACACTAAATAGCTTATGAACTTTTCTTCAGTTGAATGACACTGCAGTCACTTCTTTTTGTCATTTCATCACTTTCGAAAACAAAAATACCACCCTTATATGCTTATAACAAGCGTTCAACAGTGCTTTAATTTTAATTATACGAGTACTTCGCTTACTGTCGACACCTCGCTCATCAAGAAGTGGCAAACTCGTTAATTAACTCTCCCTAACCACAATGCTGTCTGATGTACACCCATGGTCTAGTTTTAACCTGTAAGAGAAGGGAAGCATGGAAAGGCCCTTCCTCCGACGTACCGGACTGGAAATTGAATGTCTTTTGTAGTGGTTTCAGTGATTAGCACCGGGCATTGTGTACCATGCTTACACTTTGGCGCCCCCAACAACAGATAATTGAAAGGCTTGGGGCAATAAGGAACCTATGCCACATTTGATTTAAAAACCACATTTTCATCTAAAAGCACCCAAAAGATGATTTTTTGACAATTCGCTGATAGAAGTAGCTATAATTTTTAAATAGCGTTTATGCACAGCCATATATGCTACACATTTTTACGCCAAGAATGCTATATATATATATATAAACAGAAAATTATCATGCGGAGAAAGGTATATAACAAAAATGGCAAAATAATGGCTAAAATCCGCAAAAAGTGGATTCGAGCAGAAAATAGGGTAGGTAACACGAGCGATACGTATTTCTGCTGGTTGGCTTCATCAGGCCCGAAATGAATGCACTTATGCAACTACAAAAGTAGATACACATGCCCATACATCCGGATACGGGTGTAACCTGAGGAAACGATTTTTGTTATATACCTTTCTCCGCATGATAATTAAAAAACTACCCCTAGGAGGGGTGAACATTGAGCTTTGGACGCCAGATGCCGGAGCAATTCATTTCCATGTATCCGAATTTGGTGTTAACAAAAATTTCAAACCCTCGGAATTCACCTCCCCTAAATGGCGATGGAGGATATGTAACTTAAGTGTAGACTGAATTCACAGCACAGTATCTGGCAGCCAAAAATCGATTTTCCACCCCTTTTTAGGGGTAGTTTTTAGTTGCATGTGCAAATTCTAGGAGTGTAAAAACATCGTTAGCTCTAAATTTGTATTCAGTGTCAAAAAATATATTAAAGTTATTTGAGATAACTAAGAGTTGGCAATGTCAATGTATGACAGTATAGATTTTTAAAATCAGAATTAGAAACTGTATTTACCTTTGCAAAATACCAATACCGCGTCTATAATAAAAATAAAGTTAATAATTGTGGACAAGATACGAAACGCCATATTGAAATCCTAAAATTTTAAAATCCATCTTGTCATCTTGTAGAGGAGAACAAGTCACAATGATAATTCGTTTTTTATTTTGAAGTCCCATCTTAAATAAAGTCAGGAAAAAATAAAAACGATTTTGATAAAATTCGGTCATACTCAGAATTGGGAAGCTTTCTATGTGCCATTTTCTTAGAAATCTAAATTCGCAAGTCTGTCCCAATTCAACCGACTTCGTACTTATCACCTTTTCTGAGATCGCAATGATGAGAATCGAATTTCAAACACCCGATATAGAGAGGAGAGTTTTTGTTTCAGTAACTAAAACCGCTGTTATGGAAGCTCACAAGCCAAACGTGCAACTCATTTTGTCCCTGACTGTATTTTTTGTCCCTAACTATTTGTTGAATCACGTCGCGGAAGCTTATTCATAAACACAAAACGAAACAACTCCATTACAGTGAAAGCAAAAAAAATGGAAGAGTAAGAAGTTAGTTTCCTTAACGAATTGTTCTGAATCAGACAGACAACGCCAAAAAGTCCTCTTTCACGCCAACAACAGCTGTGGGTGGCGAACAGTCTGTACCGAAAGCAATGGCGTGCTGCTTATGATATCCCGATCATCCACCGAATGTGTGAAAAAAGAAGACCCCTCTGTTGAAGTTGTGTGGCTTAGAGTCGGTGTCTGTGAACTTGTGGTGCACCCTGTGAACTCTGACCCATTCGTGGATGTCGGTTTGAAGGGCTGCCGTCTGGAGTATCATCAGGAAGACTCTGAGGTACGCACAAGGCGGTTATAGTACGAGTGCCATTTTTTAGTAAGAACCGTTTTGTAATGAAGTCACAGAAGTTTTATTGAATTTCAGCAGAAAGAACTGATTTGCGCTTACAGACCGAAATACTGAAGTAGACTTCACAATTGGCAGGTTAACTGGTTAACATGGCGACAAACAAGGCAGTATAACCACACAACCAATACCGACAGAGACGTGGGACGTTGATGACGGCGTTGTGAGAAACTGGTCAAGAGTGTCCGAGATTGAATGGACGTCACGTGAACCATCCGCCATCGATTCTTATCTCAAAACAATGGCGTTTCGTGCTCTTTAGCAACTCATCGGTGCGGTATAGCTCTTGTCTGGAAGACAGACATACAAAAAGCAAACAAGTCGGTGTGTTCTCTTGAAGAACTCAAGACGTTGTTAGCGTATTCTCACCTACTTGATCATAACATCATTTAACTCCTTCTGGTTGGACTCACTTGTATATGAAGTTGCTTACACCTATCGGCGCCCATGGCTACAAAAGTTGCTTTGTTCCCTTTTGTCACCGCCAGCCCAACAAATTAGTCTCCAGAGGATGGGAAACAATATTTCCAGTTATGAAAGACCAGGAATTGTTTCTCTGTATCCGCTAGACGGATTTGACATAATGGCACAGCACAGGAAGTCGTAACAGTGGTCCTCTCGAATTGTGCATCTCTCTGTATTGTTTCTCTATCGTATACGAAGCTGTTTCAAATTTACGTCTTACTTATTTACCATAACAGTTTTACTACTCGCCAAACCGATTTATTAAACTCCCGGGGTTGGCGAATGGTGAAATATTCTATTGTAGTAATAGTTGCTACGCCAAAGGATACGTCACAAACTTTCTTACTTAATTTATAAAATGGATTAGATACAGGTAAGATAATTTCCAAGTCGATCAGGAGTGATACCTGTAGCGCATCTTGGATCTACTGGACCGAAGCACAACATTTGTATAAAGCCCCTGATCTTTAGTTGAAGGGGAGAGGAGTCCGACGCACTGTGCATAGTGTGTGTCATCTTAGATCCGCCCCCGCCTATGCACCTTGTTCACCGACTAAGTTTACTCATTCTTACTAAGTATGTATTCAGATAACTAAATCCTATGTAGTGGCCGTCGCAAGAAAGTGATTTCTAGTTTCCACGAATACCCCCATACTTTGGGTGTATTTGTATGAAAGAGCTTGATGAAGGAACATAATAAGCAAAGTGGCATCATTCTGAATAAAATATGGCGGCCACCGCTGAATGGCGATTTATAATTTCCGTGGTCACCTCTCTGATATGGGAATCAAATGAAAGGGCTTAAGGAGAGAAACAGGAAAAGCAAATAACGTCATTTCAAATTCCATATGGCGATCGCCGCAAAATGTCGATAAGGCTACTTCCATCGAAATCTTATAATACAAGTAAGAAGTTTTATGAAGTTATAATACTAAAACATTTGAAAGTTATGGTAAATAGACACTACAAAGCTAGTTATTTGAAATCATAAATACTAAAAAGTAAAAAATAAAAAAATACATTTTTAAAAACAATATTTTATTTAGTTGTTCATACAATGAACTAAAAATTAGAAGTAATGTTTTCCAACTGGAAATATTTAAAAGATACTGAATCTCCACCATCTCGAGCTTTCAAACAAAAACGTGTTACTCAGCAGGATGGAAAAAGTGTAACATGCTTTTATTTGAAAACTTGAGATGAATGAGCTTCATTATAGTTTGAATACTTCCAATTGAAAAAAAATGCTTTCATCTTTAGATCATTTTATGAAAGCTAAATAGAAGCTTGCTTTGAAAATGTATTTTTTATTTTATTTATTTTCTTATGCTAACGACGAATTATACTCGAACAACGTCGATATGAGGCTGTTCACGTCCATATAACAGGTACAGGTAGCATTGTACGGTTGCCGGCAATTTACACCAAGGCAATATTAGGGATAATATTGCCGGCAATATTGCCCAAAAGTGGCAACTTAGGGCAACTTTATGTTTAAAGCTGAAAATCCATTAAGTGTTGTAAGGTTGTATATAATTATTGATATGAGCAAAAAAATGAGTAAAGTAATTCATACTTTATTATAATACAGGTATATTAGACACAGATCAACAAAAATAAAATATTAAACTAAAAACGAGTTAATCTCATTATTACAAAATTTATCTTAAACCTTAAAATTATGGGATTATGATATATCGTGTAATTCGTGCTCGTGCATGGTGATTCTGAACCCGGGAACTAAGTCTCAGATCCTGCTTCCGATCCGACCCTGATGTATAGGAGCATGATGAAGGCGATGTAATAGAAGTGTTATTTATCATTGTCAACAGTTTCCATTATACTAGTGTATTTTCTAAGGTTCTTGACGATGACTGAGACTCTGTATTTTTTGCTTGCTGTGGTTGTGATGTTGACGCAGTATTATCACCAGTTCTGATTTTGGTTGACTTATTGATACCTGGCGCCTTCCTTCTGTGTATAACTTTCCCGATATGGGAAATGTAGCAGAGTTTTCTTGCTCTCTTGGTATTCAGTTTATGTCGCTTCTTATCATGTAAAAATGAGAACGTGGAGAAGGATCTTTCCACAAAGACAGATGTTGAGGGCATACTTAAAATTCTTATTGCCACCTTTCCGAAGTCAGTAGTTTGATAAAATGTTTTCCACCATAACAAAGCACTTATGCTTTCATTTCCAGCAGTGTTCCAAACAAACTCCATTGTTACTCTAATGTTATTTATGTTTCGTCCGATTTGACATATACCTTCACAACTGTCAATTTGCTGTTGTGCTGTCATTATTAATCCCTGACTTCTAGGATCCAGGACGCCACCTGCCAAATGAATAGGCTGTAAGGCATGTAACATTCTGTCCTCAAATTTCTGCCGAATTAACTCTGCTTCTGTGGAAGACCAAAACTGGTCATCAAGTAAAGTCTGTTTATGCTTTTTGGTCAATGTTTTTGTGGAGTCTTGGTGGGAGAGAACTGATTGCGCCACTCGGATGCAGCTACTAAAATCTGGGCAAAATTGCCAGTAATGTTGCCGTAATTGTGGAAATATTCCCATATTTCCGGCAATAATCCCACATTTCCGGCAATATTACCGCTTTAAAAATTCACAAATTTTGGCAACTTAAGCAGACCTAGGCAACTTTCTGGGAATATTCCTAACATGGGAATATTGCCATTTGGCAATCAGAGGGTTAGAGGTTAGAGAGCGTCAAAGTTTTCTTTTTAAATCACATTTTTTCGGATATTTCTGGATCAGTCGGATTTGAATGAAATTTGGGATACATATGCTTTGCTATACGTTCAAATATTTAACTTAAACTAGAATCTCAAAGAGTTTGAGAAGGGTGAAAACTACCCCCACATAAACTATAGCAGAATTTTTTCGCAACTTTCTCGACAACACCGAATTTTTTCTGATAAGATGCCTTTATTTACTTAATTTTTTGTCTCTTATTAAAACAGGCCATCTCGTATAGTTTTCGAGAAAAAAAATATCTTTCGGAGACGCAATTTTGTCCACCGCATTAGTAAAATTGGAACGGAATTGTGGACAATTATCTTTGGACTCAATGTCGTGTACAATAGTAGTTTTTCACACATTCTACGTCATCCACCGATGATTCATTAAATAAAGTTCACTTCGTTTTTTCTTTCTATTCATATTCAGTTCAATTCATATTCAGTTGTAACAATGAGAGAAATGACGTTTCATCATTGTATATTATTTCCATGCAAACTTACTCGACAAAGCTTAAATCAACAGTCATAACGGGAGGAATAATATTCATTCGTAACAGTATACGGACGCGTGCATTTCTGTGCACACGCAATTATATCGCATAATTACAAATAGCATGTGCATTGCTTGGAGTACCACACACATCTAGCAAGCTATGCCATTTAATTAAATTGTCGGCATTGTTTTGCTATAAGCTTCGACTCACCTTAAAATGGGGGCGCTGCTGGGTCAGCTCGTCGACGAGTTCTGGAACAAAATGGATAAATGTTACATTTACAATATGATGTAATGTTTTATCTGGAATTAGGAAAGTTATTAATTAGACGAAAGCTTGGCGCTCGTGAAATTTTCCAAATCAATAGTTTTTCCTATAATCACCTTTGTTGAATTCCCCCAAATACAAATCTGTTTAAACACAGTTTCAAACAAGTTACAAAAAATTGGTGACCTCGCTTCAATCAGCTTTTTTGGTCTGATTGTTTAGAACAAAAGACGTTCTTGGTAACTTCTCTCTAGGGCTGAAATTAAAGGATAATCCTGCAACTGGAAGTAGGTCAGATCGTGACCTAATGTTTGACAAAAGTCATGATTTACCAGATATGCAGTAATGAATTATTTTTGGCAAAAATGGACACTCGTCCAGTTAAATTATTGCAATTTCTATAAATGACCTTTTTGTTTCGGGTTCAGATCAAAATGTTCATACTCGATTTTTTTATCAAAACCAGTACTGTATTTTTTACTTACGTGATATCGAAATCCTTATGAAAACTATTCTTGTTTAACATTTTAATGAAAACCAATTTCTACGTCTCACGTTGACACTCCGCAGTAGTAAAGAATGAACTGGATCACGAGCCAAGTAGTTAAACAAATTGTACATTAAATGCGATTTTTAGAATAGTAATGACATCTAACATTTTGTTGGCTATTTCTTACAGCAATTTTACTCGAGGGTCGTCTTGTTTCTTGAATAGCAAGAATATACTTTTACGACACGAATAAGCAATAAGGCACAGGATTGATAATCGTAAGTTTATATTAAGCCATGTACAGATATGTAACAACACCGCGAACCGAACCACGCGACGAACCGCAGCGCGCGCATTTTGACGAACAACATTGCAACGAGCATCACCACAAATCGAACCACGTCGTGCAACCACATCGGGCAACAAAATGACGATCCAATTTTGATGTTTGTCGTTCAGTGAAAGACATCATTTGTTTAATTTATTCTAATGCAGGGTAAGTTTTGAATCCCACAACAATTCCCCTGCTCTCTAATGAGAAGCAAAAGAGTTTTCTCCTCCGACCATTCCATCTTTTCTTCACGGGCTCTATCCATTTACTGATATGAACGCGTGCTCGCCGCATCGATATCCCTGTCCAAACATGTGCAACTTTTGATGTTACGCTGAAAAACCGACAGATACTGGATCGGGCCGAACGGCGAGCTGTAACGCTTGTCAGGTTCGCGACGGCGTTTTTTTCACCGTCTACACTTCGGTTCGCGGTGTTGTTACATACCTGTACAAAGCTTTAGATTTTCGAGACTACCTGTTCGAGGATCGGATTAACAAGGTTTCTATGAGCTTCTCAAAGCAGCCGCGGAGAATGGAATTTAGGCTTGCGCATGAGCGGCTGCTTCGGTGTAAAAAAAGGATGGCCACCATTAGCCCTTATGCATGCCTTGCACCTTATAATAAATGATCCTCGTAAGTTTTCCTGAGAGGCCGATTTGATTTTCGCACGTAACTGTGTTATAAATAACGTCTGTTTGACAAACCATATTTTTAAGGCAACCCTAATCAGAGAAGCAATGGATTTAGATCTGAAGATCTTGGTGGCCAATAGAACCAAAGCGTCCGATCCAGTTTTCATGATAATTTTGAGTTTTAATTAAGCCTCAATTTATAGGTGTTACAACTTTTATAGTGAGTATCAAAATGAGACAGCATAACGTGTCATCTTTACCAGAATCGACCAATGCAATGGAGGAGACAGCTGTCCATGGTTGACCGTCTGAGATCCGACGAACGAAAGCTATATTGCTAGTTTTTATACTGAGTGTCCGATCAGTACCTTTTTATGCGATTATGTATTGTGATTGCTTCTCTTTTCCTCTAACCACAATCTTCACTATGTCTACACACTGGTACACGAAGCCAAGAAAGTGTAATAAAAGTTACTAAGCTCCACCGTACGGGGTAAGGTTCAGTTATACATACAGTCAATGTCAGTGTCGCGTGTGAATAGTGTCTGTTGCGTGGCTCAAACGAAATAAAAAATGGCACATGTTTATGCGGATCGGTTTCCCAATCGAGTGCAACCAACCCCTCGTGCCTTTGTTAATGTAGTACAACGGGCTCGTGAATCAGGTGACTTAAGACCTCACAGGGGACCTCACGATCAAATACAGGTCCGCACTGAAATACTTGTCGGGAGGATACTTTATGAAACAAGGTAAAAATTTTTTTTTAATTTTTTTTTATTTTTACACACATATTTTGGTTTATCTTCCTTCTACAATCATTATCTGAAAATTAATGACTCAACTTCAAAGTCACCCTGTATACACCCCATACACACCTATAATATTTGGATACATATATACATAAGAAAAGATACTGCACCAATATCAGGTAAGGGTAAATACAAATAGTTTTATTTGTTTACGGAAATTGGCAGGAGATTTCGTTGTATTTACCTGGTAAAGCATTGTAAAGTATGGCAGCATTATACGAAAAACAACGCTTGAAAAGTGTCATAGAGTGAGGCGGTATTCTGATTATTTTATGGTCTCTGAAGCTCCTGCTATGAACTTCATGACTAAATATAATCTTACCTCTCAAATAAGCAGGCTTTGACGTAGCTATCAACTTGTGCAAAAATATTAACTACTTGTACTCAACTAGCTTGCCAATTTTTAGCCATTTCATACGATGGTACTTATCGCTAACATGGTCAAATTTTCATGAACTGGTCGAGACATGGATAGTACAGAATATCGCAATAATTTAAGATTGACATAACAAGAGACTCACACAATTTTTTCCTTAATTTATAATTTAGAAGATGGCGATTGGCAAACAATGCTCTCATTCTGGCATATGTCTTTTTAGTTAGTGACATGGCATGGCCCATAAACCTTCATTTGCTGTCTACTTCAACCCCTAAAATCTTAGCTGAAGGTGTTAGTTCTAACAGTGAACCATTTAGATGCACTTTGAATGAAATTTCCAAATTTCTTCTCCTTGCTTCTGAGCAAAATAGTAATATTTGCGTTTTATCTCGATTTATTTTTAGATTCTGGTCACTTGAATATTTAAAGAACAGCAGCATCTTGCGAACAAGAGGTGTCAAAATAGTGAATAAGTTGAGTGTCATCAGCAATAGTTTGTAAATCAGAATGTGCGACAGATTTGTGCAAATCAAAAGTGTATATCAAAAACAATACTGGACCTAGTATGGAACCCTGAGGGACGCCCGATGGTATTACGCTGACTCCAGACCGCCTGTTGCCCACAGAGACACACTGCGTACGCTGCTGAAGATAGTTTTTAAAAAAACTGAACACTCACATTATCAAGTCCAATACAATGTAATTTGGAAAGCAAGAGTTGATGATTGATCTTATCAAAAGCTTTAGAGTAATCTATTGAGACTAGAGTTACCGCTATCTCGGATCACATTATCGCACAGATTCAGTAGCGCAGAGGTTGTACTGTGCTGCTTTCTAAATCCTGATTGATTAAGATAAGTAATACCATTGTCTTCAACATACAATTGTATTTGAAACTGCACTTCCTTTTCTAAAATTTTAGATAACGCAGGCAATCAACTTATAGGTCTAAGATACGTAACATCAGTTGGCTTAAGGATTTTAGGTGTTGGTAAAATTAATGCATTCTTCCATTCTTTGGGAAATACCCCTTTCTCAATACAACTGTTCACTATGTGCAATATATGTTAATTGCTATTTCGTAAATAAAGAGAGACAATTTTAAGTCATGTGTCGGACGTAATTTATAATCCAACCCGGTAGCTTCACATTCCGGCTTAATGAAAATCTTCTCCAGTAATGTGCTCTAAGGGTTCTCAATACAATTTTGTATGGTGCGGCACACACAACTCCTTATTAAAAATGCCAGAGGCTGCAAAGCAACTCGAATGTTTTTGTTTCAGACAAGATGTCTCCGCCTAATCGCCAACATTTGTATAAATTTCGTACCTTGCTCTGTTGTGTAACGCTGTGCCAGCTTAAATAACACCTTCCATAAACATGAACTCCCGGAACTCAAATCTGACTACTTTCCTTTCCCTTACCCACATCCCTACGCCTCCCCTCACCGCTTCATTCACGTTCGTACACCTGCTGCGTCTAGCGTGACAAATGGACGATCTCGGTTTAAGTGTCAGCAAGGCGGATATGATGCATTCAGATTTAAATAGGATGAATCGACGTTTGCATATTGGCTTTCTATGATTGATCATACTACAAATAGAGACTGGTGAATTGCCACAATAAGCTGGACACTGTAGAAAGGCCACGATGACATATGATCGCTAAAAGTGTGAGCTGAAAGCGCGGAGAACAGTGCATAAATTTTTTTACGGGCGCTAAATTCCTTGTGACAAAAAAATTAAAGCGCAGGAACATACGAAAAGAGGAAAGTACTAAAAAAATAACGAAAAACGAGAAGCATGGAAAAAGAAAATAAGCCGTAGGTTGACTCTACACGCAACGCTATCATCACCTCAGGATTACATTCTGCACAAGTTAGCCTTTCTTAGAAAAAAGTTAGTTACTAACTGGTACTATATAACAAAAAAAGTGGATCAAATCAGTCAAACAGACCTATGCAATTATTCTATAATCCCCACAGATTTGGCAAGACTGTGATATAGCTTATCACGCTACCGACAGTACCGACCAGCCGGCAACTTGCAACTTTGCCTGCCTTGGTGCTTGCCAGCATCACATCATCACTTAGCAAACTGCTCAGCATCTGAGGCAAGCGTATGCTCGCAAACCTGCTCGAAATGCGTATATTGAAAATATCAGTCAAAATTTTAAGGGCAAATGTACGGGGAGATCTATGATGTACCTGCTACAACACCCAACATCCATTTTAACCCCTGCGAAAATGTTACTGTAAATAATCAGGAGCCTATGAAACCCACTCTGGAACATCAAAAAGCTAAGTTTGGACAATTTGTATTTCTTTACATTTTTTGTCTGTAGCTAGCTCTGCCGCCTCTGGACCAATTCCCCAATTAACATGAGG